CTTTTAAATGCATATCAGTAGTACTACAGAGAATATCCTTGTAATTCATCTTTGAGTTACTTTTACTTTAGGATTTCTTGAAGTGGAATTGCTGGATCAAAAACAGTTATCTGTTTAAAAATTGGGTACATATTGTCAAACTGCCTTTCCAGAAACATGTTATCAATTTACAATCCGACAGAGTACAATAGAATATCCATCTGTAATGCACATTACTATAGTGAAACCTATCATATATTCTGTTTCTTTGGACTCATTTATCTGTTAAAATCTAAATCCTTTTTCTCTCCTTTCCTGCCTCCCTCCCTCCTTCTTATGCTCTCTTCCTCTATCTCATTCTCTCTTGCTCTCTCTCTCTATCTCTTGTCTCTCTGTCCCCCTCACTCACTCTCTCTCCCTCCCTCCTTCCCTCCCCCCTACCCCTCTTCCTTCCCCTCCTCACCTGCCAGGTGCTGGTGGTTTATGCCTGTAATCCTAGCTATTCAAGGAGGCTGAGAACTGAGAATCACAGTTCCAAGCCAGCCTGGGCAACAAGTCCAGAACATTCTTATATACAGTTAACCATCAAAAAGCTAGAAGAGCAGTTGTGGCCCAAGTAGTAGAGCACTAGCCTTGAGCAATTAAGCTAAGAGATAGTGTTTGGACCCTGAGTTCATAGCTAAGTACTGATATATTCCCTCCCCCCCAAATCTTACACTTAATGTCCATTTTGATTTCATCTTGTGCCATTGTATAAACAATGTCATATCACTTATATATTTTTATTTGTAGGAACATTTTGTATATTATAAACACCAAACCTTTGTTAATATTCATACATGTGATTCCTGATTCATTTTTATCAATTTCCCATGATTCCATTTTTCAAGTTAACAGAACCTTCCCACAGAGCTTAGACTGCCCAAGGAAGAATGTCCACCCTGAAGCCTCCAGTCCTAAAAATACATATTAGGCTTTAAGATCTCTCACACAAACATTTTATTCTAATAATAACTATGACCAGGCTTGCATCTCACTGACTTGGGATCTAAATGATCACTATTAACTGACACTGTTTTAAATAAAACCTTGTTAAACACTGTTTTATGAAAAGCTTTTCCCTTTTTGTTTAAGTTGATTTTGAAAAGTTTTACAAAGTTATAAACACTTAGGTAACTACTATTTAGAACTGTAGTGTTGTCCAAATGCACAACATCACTAGTATGGTGTGTTCACATCCATTTCAACTTCATCAGTTTAGAGTGTGATTAGTTTGTTAGTTTGGTGAACACTAATAGGAAATTTACTGTGGTTTTAATATTTTTCTTTGAGTTCTTTGTGTATTTAAAATTAATTTTTATCCAGTGAATATGTAGAATTAACACATGTTAATAAAAATGTCAACATAGAAATCATTTGGAGAACGAAATATAAACACATGCCTGGGATCACTCCAAGGAACCTCATGCAAATGAGCAGTTGAGACTTAATTTTCACAATAAATTCATAAATTTGGGTGTAATTATACCTGCCTTACCTATACTCTTTCTTTAGGTACTGTTATCTTTTTTATATTATCCACTAAGTAGGTTACAGAAATACATACCTCTTGAATTAATATATTTTTCTGTAAGGTTAGTTATCGTATTTAAAAATACAAGTTTGAACAAGTCATACAGCATTCTCTGATAGAAGTAGTTAAATGACTGAGAAGAAGGGACAGTAAGCCTAGGTTTCTGATAGACATCAATTATTGTTAGATATTCAGTACAACATGTATTTCTAAAAAGACATTCAACTGATCAGTAATAAAAAAAAAAAACAGGCAGGATTAAGTTCATGGAGAAGAGATGAAAGAAGGATGAAGACAAACTTTATCTACTCTGTGGTTTTTCTAGACTAGCATAAGACCAAAGGTCATAAGACGAGCATCATTTTTCTGTACCATTATGAAACATTTAGATTTTTTAATTTTTTTCATGTGTTTGAATTGTATGCAAATGGAATCTTTTAAAACTATAAATCAAGATAAAGTAAATGAGTATATATTTATGACAAATAGATATTGCACCCATGTCTACAAAAATTTGAAAGTATTTCTCATAGTTGTTTATTAATTAATTGATATTTATTGGAGAATTAACAAATACTAAGGAGCCATTTTAAATGAAAAGTGTGCTATTGTTTTTAAGTCAATCAATAAACTAAATGAAAATTGGTATATAAAGTGATAAGTACTATGAAAAAAAAATAAAAGGCATGGAGAAAGATGGAGACAGTCAGGGCAAGGCTTGTCTGGGACACAAACATTTGAAGAGAACTATGAAAAGAAGTGAGGGGTGAACTCTGTCAATGTCTGGGGATCCGTTTTCTAGCAGAGGGAAAACAAGGGTGAAGGCCAAGGTGAAGGAAAGAATTGCAGGCAGTAGAACATCAAGAAGGCTGTATTGTTTCTGGAAGAGTGAAGCAAATGATAGATCCCTATTTTCCTGACATTTACATCAATTACAATAAATAAGCCATCACAAATACATATATGGTGTTGGAAGTGCTAGGAAAACAGCAGACCAGGAGTAGAAGATAGGAAGGATAGTGAGAAAACTCTCCATTGAGGAGAATAATTTGAACAAATTTTCAGTAAGTGAGTATAATCAACAAAACAGTGAGTGCAAAGGCCCTGAGGTACTTGCAGAAAAACAAGGATTCTGGAAGAGAGTTTACAAGAAGGAAAATGGCTGCAGATTCAAGGCCAAGGTCAGAATTGTTTGAGATAGCTGGGCACCAGTGGCTCATGCCTGCAATCCTTGCTACTCAGGAGGCTGGGATCTGATGATCAGGGTTTGAAGCCAGCCTGGGCAGAAAAGTCCCCAGGAGACTCTTATCTCCAATTAACCACTCAAAAACCAGAAGAGGTACTGTGGGTCAAGTGGGAAAGCACTAGCCTTGAGCACAAAGAAACTTGGACAGTGCCCAGACTCTGAGTTCAAGCCCCACACTGACACACCAAAAAAAAGAAAGAAAAGAAAAAGAAAAAAGAATTGCTTGAGATAAGCATGTCTTTAGACTTCTGTTCAGTGAGAAGGGGTGCTAGTGAATAGTTTTGAGTAGAGGAGTAATTGACAGAATTAAAGAAAGGATTAACTAGGAAGGGGGTTATAAAAACAATGAGTACCACTTAGGAAACATTTCTAAAAATCCAGATGGAATTATGTACTTATGTTACTTGAAATACTTGAATTTTTATTACCCCAAAGTGCTAAGAAATAAATATCTATAGATACAGATTTAACGAAGTTCCAATAAGTGTGAAGGCTTGATTGAAAGGAAAATGTGAAAAATAGCTCCTTGTTTTGGCATTTATTCAGCATCTGGCTGAATAACTTCATTAAACTGCAACTAATTCACTAAAGGAGATTAATACTGTGATATAGCATACTGTAAGATCATAGTATATTTACAAATGCTTCCTATTACAATGTTGGGATTATAAGGGTTCTTTGTAGGATGATTTATTTGCTCCAACTTTACTGAATGTTTATAAAATATTCTAATTTTCATGTAATAGAGTCTGAGCACAAGAATTTCTATTAAAATCCTTGTAAAATGCCAATGGGCCACATGACTGTTAGGTCCATAGGAGAAATGGCCCCTTTCCTTGGTTCTCTCCCCTGCAACCTAGAAGTCCCAGAAGGAGTCCTAAGGGACCTGTAGCCTTCCACCAGCTTGAGATCCCAAGGTTCCATTCACCAAGATTTTTATTGGTCTTGTACAGGGAAGCAGAAAATAAGGTACAAACTTCCATGCAGGACATTATTTTGTATACAAGTGGTAGATGACCTCCTTATTCTGGGAAGGAGAGCTAAACAGTAAACAGCTTGCAATTGCATAAACCTAAGTCTACCCTCAGGCTCCAACACAGCTTAGGATGGAGTTAACCCACATCCAGGATAGAAATCTGAATTCCCATTGAGCCAGGACTGATTGAACTTTCTAGGAAACTCTGTGTTCTGAGAGTAGTTGGGAGAAGGCATTCCAAACTTCCAGTCCTTTGGGGGATTTTAGTAACCATAATCAGGCATGTGTATTACCACAGTTCTCTATTTCTCTAATGTTCTTCTCTAAGTGTGAAACCTAAAACTACCCTAATTCCCACACACCTTCTCTTTCTCCCTCACTTAATCAGGGAGTATGTACCTTGCCATCTATGTCTCTGGAGGTCCTGGTGTTCCTCTTGCCTTAGTGCTGTGTGTTCTAGACCAAGGGGTATACAGTATATGACACATTCACTATTTTGTTTATTTGTGTTCATACTGAGCCTTGAATTAAGACCTCTTACTCAGTGTTTTCTCTCACTGCTGGCACTCTACTTGAGCCATACCTCCAGTTCTAGATTTTATGTGGTTAATTCGCAATAACAGCCTGGGCTGTTAATTGTTGATAACAGCCTGGGTTGTCTTCAAACGCTGATGTTCAGATCTCAGCCTCCTGAGTAGCTAGGATTATAGGTATGAGCCACCAGTTCCTGGCACATCTATTATTTTAGACATCTTAGTAGCTATATGAAAAAGAAAAAGGGAAAAAGTGCAATTAATTTTAATGATACATATTTTATATTACCCCATATGTCTAAAAGACTATCATTCTTTAAAAATTGAGAAGATCTTAAATTCTTTTATGATATAAATCCACTGTCTTTTATACTTCTAGCACATCTCACAAGCCCCAGCTGACTAGAGAGAACTATAATGGACAAGCCTGTTCTAGTTCTTATCTCCATTGACTTTTGAGACCCACAGATGCCCACTTGCCCTATTCTGTAGCTACTGTCCTTATCTAACTCTGATGTGGCTTCCTGTTTCTAGGCCTCTTTGAACTTTAACTCCCAAGTTACTGAAATGGATGCTTTACCTGCTAGCCCTCTCCACATCCACTCCCTGTCTGATTACCTATGTTTTGCTGCTACATAGTTGACATGATATCAAGTAATTTCTTATGCTTTTCTGCATTAGAAGAATGCATTTCTATTTTGTAGAAAAGATAGTACTGAATGGAAGAACACTGAATTCCCCATAGCTTCTTTAAAACTACCTGTGGGAAACAGCTGTTCAAGATTAAGACTTAACTATTCAAGCCTGACTCTATCCAGTCATGTTACAAACTGCTTGCTGACATAGTCCACAAAAGGAAAGCACTTTTGAACATCAGAAGGTAAGTACAAGCTTGGTCTTTTCTCCCCAACTCCCTCCCCACCAGACCAATGGTTGACTCAATGTTTTAGTAGATTGAGGACAATGCTGCAAGGTACTCAGAAAACTGGGGGTGAATACATTTCATAATTTTCTAAATTTATCTCCCACCTCACCCCTAGTTAATTTGGAATGGCAGTAGTTATTTAGGTTTTCTGTTTTACCTTGCAGGGCAAAACTCTTTGTTTGCAAGTATATGCTTCGAGGCCAAATTCAACCTTGAAAATGGGTTCTATTGGCTTTACACAGTATTTAAAGTTCTCTTGAGACCACATTTAGAATTAGGAAGCTTTCATGTAAGCATACGGCTTGCAGGCTTCTTTAAAAAAAATGAGAAGACTCATCTACACTGAACAATCCCCCTGTGTAGTGCCTTGTGGCTAAGCTGGGATTCAGAGAGAACATGAACTTTCTGTTTTGATATTGGTAATTATATCTGGCCCTTTTCTTTCACATAATGAACATGTTTTGATTGTGGGTTTTTGTTTTTTGTTTTTTACAATATTGGGGTTTGAACTCAGGGCCTCATGCTTGCTATGCAGACTCAACACTGCATGTACTGATCTACTAGTCCTTTTGTGTTGGTTGTTTTCAAGAAAGAATCTCATTTTATGCCCAAGCTTACCTGGACTGTGATCCTTCTATTTGTTCTTCCCTTTGTCTCTGGGATGACAGTTGTGAGTCACTGCTCCCAAGTATTGTGCTTCCTTATAGCTTGGGATAATAAGTGTGTACCATCACTCCCAGCTATTGGTTGAGAGAGAATCTCAATAACTTTAATGATTGTGCTGGCCTTTAGCAATGATCTTCATTCTCTGAAGTAGAAAGTGCCCTGAGCTACTGTGCCCAGCCTATGTTCTGTTCTTATCTAGGCATTTGAGTTTTGCAATTTCTATACTATGTACTTTGTCTTCTGCCATTCTTACCTCTTGACACCTTTTATTTTTTGCTGTAGTAGGGATTAAACTTTGCTCATGCCAGGTAAGCTACCACTTGAGCCATGTTCCCATGACATTCTTTCTTTCTTTTCTTCCTTTCTTTCTTTTCTTCCTTTCTTTCTTTTCTTTTTTCCTTCCTTCCTTCCTTCCTTTCTTTCTTTCTTTCTTTCTTTCTTTCTTTCTTTCTTTCTTTCTTTCTTTCTTTCTTTCTTTCTTTCTTTCTTCTTTCTTCTCCTTCCTTCCTTCCTTCCTTTGCTTTCTTCTTTTGACCATTCTAGGAGTTGAACTTGGTCTTGCTCTCTCCCTAGCTCAGCGTTTTTTTGCTTATGGCAAGTGCTCTACCCAGTTAAGCAACACCTCTAGTTCCAGTTTTTTGCTGTGACTAAAGAGAGATAAGAATCTCAAGAATTTGTCCTCAAGGTCTAGCTTCAAACAGCAACCCTCAGATCTGAGTATCTTGAATAGCTAGCATTTTAGAACAAAAATTTTAACAAGCCCTGCAGGTAACTGATGAAGGTGATCTGTGTACATACATTGGAGAGAAAAATCACTGCCTGAGGGCATTCTAGCATCTTGATTTAAAAATCACCCTGAGGCTGTAACTTTCTAATATTCTTTCCTGAAAACACATTCTAATGTTGAGAATGGAGTTTAGGAGGAGATTATATGGGGTGTGGGTTCCAGTACCATTCCTTTCCCTTTCAGCTTTGAGACTAACAAAACCCATGGATGGTCAAGTCCTGTCCAGAAAATAGCAGTGTTTGCACATAATCTATGCATATCCCCCCATATACTTTAAGCCATCTCTAGATTACTTACAATGCTAATGCTATATAAATGCTATGTGAACAGTTTCTGTACTGCATTTTTAGGGGAGAAGGACATGAAAAAGTCTGTACATATTAAATATAGATCATTGTTTTTCCAGATACTTTCTCTCCATGGCTGAGTGCTCACATCTAGAGCCCTTGATTGCAGGAACCGTAGATATGGACTTTTGATTGTGCTTTAAAAATTGCACATTCATAAAGCCCAGGAAGGTCCATAAAATGGGGACTTTAAGAATACTTAATTCTTGATAAATTTCATGAAGTTCCTTTATAGTAATAAAAGCTTATTAGAAATGAGAATACGATTGTGGCAAAATACAGCCTCAAAAACTACTTCTCTTCAAAAGAGGCACTATTAAAAAGCATTAGACAGTACTTGAAGTTGAGTTAAACAATTTAGGGCATTGTCTTTTAATTTTCAGAAAATCAGTTAAGAAGCCAAGCTCTGGTGGCTCATACCTATAATCCTGGTTGCTAAAGAGTTGAGTTCCAAAAGAATACAGTTTGAAGCCAGCTCAACACAGAAAAGTCCAAGAGATTCCATCTCCAAAGAAATCAACAAAAGCCAAGCCAGGAGCATGGATGAAGTGGTAAAATGCAAGCCATACAATTGCAAGCCTTGAGTTCAAATCCTAGTATAAGCAAAAGAAAAAAAACAATTGCAAGCCTTGAGTTCAAATCCTAGTACAAGCAAAGGAAAAAAAAGACAAAAAGATTTTCTGTTGAAAGTTAAAAGATCATCCATTGATTGGTTATATAATTCAGAAAACAATCATCAATCTACTAGTTATCTATCTATCTATCACAAAACAAAATGCAGGAGGACTCCATACAAAATGACCTCCTCTGGCATCTGTGTAATGCTAGCTAAGGTTCCTTTCTTTTTTTTCTTTTTTTTGGTGGTTGAACTGAGGGCTTGGATGCTGTCCTTGAGCTTCTTTTGCCCAAGGCTCTATCACTTGAGCCACTGCTCCACTTCTGATTTTTTGGTACTTAATTAGAGATAAGATTCTCACAGGTTTCCTGCTCAGTCTGGCTTTGAACTGTGATCGCCAGATCTCAGCCTCCTGAGTAGCTAGTATTAAAAGCATGAGCTACTGGTGCCTGGCTAGGTAGGGTTCTCGACTCAATGGTTCATACTCATAATGCTGGTGCATCTTAGACTTCCCTTGATATATTTCTGATCAGGATTAGCCAGAACTCTGTTACACAAACCAGTAGTCTACAGTAATTATGGTTCATGCTCTGGTCAGCTTGGGGAAAAAAAATCAAGTTTCCTTCCATTGCCATATCAGTTATAAAACGTGGGGGGGAAATAATGGTAGGCAACCAATCATATCAGCTTGTTTTGCAATTAGCTATTTCATTTTTATGGTTACAGAATATTAGGACTGTAGTTTAGAATGAAATGGTAGAGTAAAAAGGAGAGGCTATGGTTTGAATTGCCTCTAGGGATGGTGTGTGTGGTGGTGGTAGGGAATGTAGGGTGGGAGTGATATGAGAGATAACCTGTAGTGAGGGTTAGACTCTCTTAAAAATATTTTAATACTTTATGCCTCAACTAAGAATGCCTTGGCAAGAACTGAAAATATTTGTAAAGCTTGTATTACTACAAGAAATATAACAAAAACTACAGCAGGTAACATCTCCTATCAATGACCTTCCAGCATCTATTTATAAGATTACTTTTGTATCATTATACTTTCTACTTAAATATTAACCCAAATCTAACTTTACCTTTTTGTAACTCACTCACATGAAAGACCAAATAGTGCCTTATAATGTTTCATTTTATCTTCTATCATAGAGCTTACACAAGATGTTCTGGGGGAAAAAAAGAAATATCAAGCATAATCCTTTTGTTTATTTTTTTGCTTTTCAGAATACTTGAAGTACTTTAGAAGAATGACCCCGATACAAGCAGGAAGTATCCACCTAACACCTGAGGAGGACAAAATCAAAGTTGAAAGAGGGGAAAAGCACCCCTCCTCAAAAACAAAACAACAACAAAAAAAAAACCCTTTACTTTCAGTGTCTGTCCATTTTTCATTGCAGACTATAGAAAATTTCTTCATGCACTAGTTACTGGAAACTGATGATCTATCTACACTGATCCATTTATTCCCCCAACCCAAGCCCTCAAAGGGGTTAGAATCTTGTCACTCCCAGACCATCTTAGGAATTAGGGCAAAAGGTTTTTATTTGTCTTATTCAAGTCTGTATTCTTGAAAATGAACATTCTAGTCACCATAAGCATTAATACTATTGTACCTAAGAAACACATGGCTTAAGATGCATGTAAGCAGAAACCAGTCTGAAGATGTCACTCAACAAAAACATTTCCAGAAGCTTAACACTTAATTGGCCTTATTAGCACCATCTGCTCATCAGTCTTGCTTGTGGAAAAGTGTTTTCATCAGATATCAACAAGTTGAAAACAAGGCAGATCACCACACTTTCTTTTGAATTTGACACCACATTTTGCCTGCCTCTTATCACAGTTTTAAATCCTCACATTAAATAAGTGAGCTGAATTCCAGCACTTACATTACACATAAGATTCTATTTTCCTCACTGATCTTTGGGTATGTATGAACATTCACAAATTATTTTCTCCCCACACCTGCTTCCTTCAGATTGTTTAGCTCATATACATCTACTCATTTTCCCTATTTCTCAACAAATCTGATTATGTTACAACATGAAACACAGAGTTATTCATAGTAACATACAGAAATTATAGTCATATGCTGGGAGTTAAACTAAAATTATTCCTACCATTGATAATAAACTTCAAAAACTTACATATTGCTTTATATATTCCACTTTGTATTTTCCAGGAATTAATATTTAATAAGTTTAGCACCCTATCTGAAAATCCATCTTTTGCATTATCTCCATTGTAGTTTCATGGTTTTGTTTCTCAATATAAATAAATGGTATTAGATTTTTAGTTAATAATACTATTTTCACAAAAGATCCCACTTTTGTTGCTTATCGTTTCTTGAATCTATTTCTTTCTTTTGAACTGATTTTTTTCTTTCTCAATGTGTCTTTAATATTTTTCATTGAAAAATCTGTATGTAATGATCCCATGGTGTTTGAATGTGTTTCAGTGGTCTAGTGTTGAATAACAAATCATCAAATACTTAGTGTCTTGACAGAGTAATATTTATTTTCCCCACAAATATGCAACTTTGGTGGGGTGTTTGTGTCAGCTCCATATGTTGTCAGCTGTAGTAACTCAACTGAGACACGAAGGAACTCTGTCCAATGTAGGGCATGTACATAGCTGGAAAAAATTGGGGGTTCAGATAGAGCTAAAGTCTATAGGCTTGAGTTCTCTTCAAGGAGTCTTTCTATGATCAACTCACAAAGGATGTCTGTGTCTCTGTGCATTCATTTCAAAGGAGAATTGAATGGTAATGATTGTATTTTATGATTTGGCCTCAGAAGTTACATAGTGTAACTTTTGTGCTTTTTCAGTTAAAAGAATGTCACAGAGCTCACACAGTCTGAAGATGAAGGAACCAGAGATGAAGGGAATGGCTTAGGTGGTAGATTGCCAGTCTAGCAAACCTGAAGACCCTGAGTTCAAAACCCAGTATTGCCTAGAGAGAGAGAAAAGAGAAGGAGAGAGGAAAAAGGAGAGGAAAGAGAGAGGGAGAGAGAGGAGAGAGAGAATATACAAATTTGCATTTTTAACTTTCTACATTTATTTATATTCTGGAAATTTCCTGGTCACTTTCTCCAGTCTCTGTTTCAGAACTCTTTTTAATCTATACAGGAAATTCTCAATCCTTCTATCATGTCTCCTAACAGCTCTTCTACTTCCCATCTCTTTGTTTTCTTATGTTGTGTTCTCAGTTACTCTTCAAGTTTTCTTTTTCATTTACAAGAAATTACTAGCCAGGAATTGGTAATCATACCTGAAATCTTACTCAGGAGGCTGAGATCTGAAAATAGTGGTTTGAAGTTAACCTGGGAAGCAAAGTTCATGAGCTTATCTCCAATAAGCTATCCAAAAGTCGGATGTAGAGCTGATGTTCAAGAGGTAGAGTGTACATGCTCAGGGACAGCGCCCAGGCTCTGAGTTCAAGCCCCAGAACAACTCAAGGCCTGGGCGCTGTCCCTGAGCCCCTTTGTGCTCAAGGCTAGTGCTCTACCATTTGAGCCACAGAGCCACTTCCGGTTTTTGAGTGGTAAAATTAGAGAGAAGAGTCTCATGGAGACTTTTCTGACTGGGCTTGCTTCGAACCATGATCCTCTGATCTCATCCTCCTGAGTAGCTAAAATTATAGGCATGAACCACCGACGCCCAGTTCTTCCATTATCTCTGAAGATATAAAACATAATGATTATTTTAAACCATGTTTTGTTTATTACTACTATTTCAGTTTCTTTGAGAATGAATCTTCCATTTAGTTTTATGGCTGTTCTTTCACAGCAACAGTTTTCTTACTTGCTTTGATTTTATCCCTCAGTACAGGTTTATCTTTATTGGGAATCATATTTCCCTTCTTTTCTCAGTTAATCCTTTTCTATCAGTGAGTGCAGTTTTTTTTTTTTTTTTTTTTTTTTATCACTTTGCCCCTACTTTAGGTTTTCCTATTTAGAATACAATTCTTAGAGTGGTAAATCATGATTCATTTTTAGTAGGAATAATGAAAACTCACATTCTGAGTTGGCAAGCTCTAGGCTGGGGCCCTAAATCTGAGGTTCTGCTGCTATAAAATTCGGCTTGTAGTCCTAAAGTTCTCTGTTTCATAAAATGAACCTGGCTCCTGAGTTACTTACATTGCCATGACAAGAAACAAAAACAAAAACAAAACTGACATAAAGAACCTAAGGGAGGAGGGATTTATTTGACCTCATGTTTTCAGACTTTTCTGTCTGTCTTGGCTAGAAAAATGGTGGAGCAGAATAGCTTACAAGCAGAGAGAGGAAGACACATGGGACTAGGTAGAACATGCAAGGGCATGCCCCCTCCCCTACTTCCCCCAATGAGGTCCTACTTTCAAAAGTTTCTACCCTCCCCAAAATAGTACCACCAGCTGGGGACCAAGTGATTAATGGGAGACTGTGGGAATGAAACCATAATAGATGCCATCCTCCACAATTATCAGGGAGCTTTCAACTCTCAAAAAATTGTTTTTAATTATCATTAAGTAGTTGTACAAATGAGGTGCCATTTAACAAAGCATATTATGAATACAATGAATGTGGATCAATATCACCCCCTTTAACATTTTCATACCCTTCTATGACCCACCTCTTTCCTTACTTTTCTTAATTTTGTGGTATACATAGTGAATTTTTGACTACATTCTACCTCAGTTTTTCCCCTTCATTCATCTACGGCTCTATCCTTGACCCCACCTCCTTCTCTTGCAAGTACCCATTTCCTGTTGCTGTTTTATTGAGCTTTGACCTAGTCTTTCTTAAAGATTATACTATTTGAGCTCCAAAGACTCCATAGTATGATAGATTCCACTCCATGTCTATCATACTTCAGTTAATTCATTTGTAACTACTTGAATACTACTCAAACGTGTTTACTTACAGATTTATAGGCATAGTCTATCTACCATAAATGAGGGAAACCACATAACCTTTGCTTCTCTGGGTCTGGCTTACTTCACTTAATATAATTTTTTCCAAGTATTTTCATTTCCTCTTACTTATTTGAATGAGACCATTTGTGTTATTTGAATCCTTGGTAATACATATATCTGTGGTCATGAAGCTTTATTCGGATCTTACTTCTTTCCATTGTTTTGTTCCATGGGGACAATGTTTTTATTTCTTTAATCCTTGCTTAAAATTGGAGGTAGGGTACTATAACTACTTAAAGATACCTCATCAGAGGGGGGCTGGGAAGGTGGCTCAGTGGTAGAGTGCTTGCTTTTCATGCATGAGGCCTTGGATTTGATTCTTCAGCCCCACATAAGCAGAAAAAGCCAGAAGTGGTGCTATGGCTCAAGTGATAGAGTGCTGTCCTTGAGCTGAAGAGCTGAGGGACAGTGCCCAGGCCCAAAGTTCAGGCCCCACGACCGACAAAAAAAAAAAAATATCTCATCCTATGATGACATTGTTGTTCAATGAAATTGTTTGAAGGATTCTTCCATTTTGGGGAGATATATGACTCAATATTTTGGCATTACAATGTCTTTTATTACAAAGATAGTGGTTACCATATTTCTTTTTGTTGTTGTTGTTGGTTGAGAGGCTTGAACTCTGGGCCTGTGCACTGTCCTTTTCAGCTCACGGCGAGCGCTCTACCACTTGAGCCACCGTGCCACATCTGTTTTCTGGTGATTTATTGGAGGTAAGAGGTTCATGGACTTTCCTGCCAGGGCTGGCTTTTGAACCATATCCTCAGATCTCAGCCTCCTGAATAGCTAGGATTACAGGTATGAGTCACTGCCATATTTTTTAAACATCTTTCTCACCAGCTAATACATTGACAAATCTTGTATTAGCATCAAAATATGTTCTGCAATTTTAGTCTGTGCTCTCCAAAATTTGGAAAGCACTGAATGAGAATTCTCAAGTATTTTTGAGCAAACATGTATTAGGTAACTATCAGTCATTTATCAAAGCAATGCAGCTGTATAGAAAATGTACATAATCTTGTTACAGATGCTGAATTTCAAATCTACTTGTATGCTACATACTCAGACTTTGGTATTCAACATTGAGGAAAGTATCTAATTCATGTTCTAAATATCTAGTCATACTGAATGCTGTACTATGGCTATATTTAATTTTTAATTTATTCTGCTTTTTATCCTTATCTTCATAATCCCTACAAAGTAACCTAAAGCAAAGTTATGAAGAAGACTAAAAATAGTTCTCTGCTCTCAAAGTAATCTAATTAGAATGACAAGATGCAAGGATAGGAAGATTAATAACATTGCAAACTATCACATGATTAACTTCCCACTAGTAGCATAGCAAGTGGCAAATCACTAAGGAAATAAGAAATTAGTTGTGTCTCAATCATATGGACACTTCAGATAGCATAATAATATAGTGGCTCCCTAAACCCAAAGCATTGAAATGATTAAGGGGGCAAGGTGAGAAAGACGCCTGCTGTGGTTATGTGAAACCTTTTTTCTTTTGTCTAGAACTCCATTTCAGCTCAAATTTGCATGCCCTGCTCAATAATGGAAAAACATAGTAATGATGTGGAGCTCCTATCCTTTGGATTTCAACAATTTTATACTTTTATAGAAGCAAGATATGTTTTCAAACTGTTTATAAAGTATTTCTTCCAATCATAGTATTCAACCAAAGATATTTTAGTGTCTTAGTGATATTTTTTACTATATCTTCCAGATTGTTAGTACTAATCTGCTCTACTGGAAGGAACAGGATTTTAGTAAGTGGAGGAATAGTAGGAGCATTCCAAAAAGAAAGAATCATAAAAATAATGGTATGGATTTAAAAAATAATGTTTTTAAGTTATACTGGAATTTCTAATTATTGGTCTAATGTTTATGACAACTTTATAAATTATAATCATTTTGTAAACCAACATTGATAATTTTATACTAAGCAGTCTATAGGTAAATCTTAACAATACTAAGTTCAGGGGCTGAAATGTGGTTCAGTTGTAAAGTGCTAGTTTGGCAGGCATGAGGTACTGAGTTCAGTCCTCACTACTGCTGCTAAAATTAAAGAGAAAATAAAAACCTCTCTTAGCTCAGTTAAGAAGCTGAATTTAATATGGCTAAAGTTTAATTTTATTTCAGAAATTAGATGTATATATTAATATAATATTTAAAGTGACATTTTAAGATCCTAGGCATTGTTATTCTGAACGTAACCAAACTTATATGTATTTTATATGTCAAATAATATAAATCTTTTGCTATGAAAAATAATTGTACTATGAAAAATAGCACCTGTTGGAAT